GTAGTAGTAGTAGTAGTAGTAGTAGTAGTAGTAGTAATAATAGTTGTAGTAGTAGTAGTGGTAGTAGTAGTAGTAGTAGTAGTAGTAGTAGCAGCAGTAGTATCAGTAGTAGTGGTAGTAGTAGTAGTAGTAGTAGTAGTAGTAGTAGTAGTAGTAGTATTAGTAGTAGTAGTAGTAGTAGTAGTAGTAGTAGTAGTAGTAGTCGTAGTAGTAGTAGTAGTAGTAGTAGTAGTAGTAGTAGTAGTAGTAGTAGTAGTAGTAGTAGTTGTAGTAGTAGTAGTAGTAGTAGTAGTAGTAGTCGTAGTCGTAGTAGTAGTAGTAGTAGTAGTAGTAGTAGTAGTAGTGGTGGTACTGAATCGTAGTCGTAGAAAAATGGTGCTGATGATAATGATACTGATACTAACATGCTGCTGATGATGATGGTGCAGAAGAAAGATTCAATCTGCGACTCGTGCTTTCCCAGCTGATCATGAAATTCGGCCCCGCCGCTCCCCACCGCCGACCAAAACTGCACTGGCCGAAGGGGCTTCGGGTTATCTTTCTCCTCCGACAGAACCCTCCCGCTGATCGTGTGGCACCTGCACGTTGCAGGGCTGCTCGGCGTACTCAAATGGGTGGCGCGGTGCTCTGGCGCAGGCCGCCAAAGCCACGAGCCGACCGCACACAGGACCCACCGTGCACGGACCCGCCCCGTTCGGACCGCACGACTGCTCCGGCTCTGGGCCAAGCACTTCGGGGCTGAAGTCCCGCCGCCCTCTGAGACGGCCTTTTCCTTCTCACTTCCCTCCCGGGCGCGCCGCCGAATGTGGCTCTTGGGTCACAGCTCGGGTCTCCGGCGGCCGTTCGGGGCGCTGCGGGCCCCCCCCCCTTCGAACGCCCTCTCCGGCGAGGCGCCGCGTCTGGCAGGCATATGCCGAGGCTGGAAAAAAAAAACCGCCGAGAACCAGCGAACGCGCCTAAAAGCCTCCAGCCTCGAGCCCGACACGTTCCCCCCTCCGCTCGCTTCCGACCGGTGGCGCAGAGCCTCCTCGTTCGCTCGACGCCCCAGGGCTGCCCAGCCGGCCGGGGGGCGGCCCCACCGCCTGCGAGGCCAGGGGGGGGGAATGGCGGCCGCGCCTCGCGGCAGGCCTCGGGCACCTCGCGCCCGACCATGTTGTTGGCGCCCGGCGAGGTGAGCCCGAGGGCCTGCGCCGGCGGGGGGGGCCTCTCCTGCCCCAGCCGGCTCCCTCCACGATCAGGTCGGGCAGGTCCTGCCCGAATTCAATCCACGACCGAGACCCAGAGATGCTCGCGTCCTGGAAGAATCAGGACGGAAGGTTTTTGGCCGTCTTCGGCCTCTGGGGGCCCGCGCTGGGCCCTGAGACTGTCAAAAGACAACTCAGGATGAAAAAGGGGTCCGGGGGAACGGATCGGAACTTCCAGGGACCGCGTATTGAAACAATCAAGACGTCGCCTGCCTAGGGAGGCGGACACGACCCTCCTGGGGAGGGGCGCGCTGGACTGTCTGGTGCCAGCAGTGCTGAGGGCGGACGTGGGCTGAGCCGGGGGTGTCCTCGCGCCATCGCCATCACCGTCACCATCGTCAAAGAGACCTGCAGTCAGGGCAAAAGGGACCCATGCATGTCAAGCAGCAATCACTGATGGAGGGGGGCCAGCTCAGGGGGGGAGGCATCGGCATGGAATCGGCGATACATCGCCGAGAGATCGCCGACAGGTCCCCGATAGCGGGCTCGCACGGTCCCGGGCGGCATCGGCCACCAGGCCCCTATCAGCGATCTCTGGGCGATTGGGGGTCGATGCGTCCATCCCTGAGCCTATCCCCCCTGGCGTTGCCCTGGGGACTATCTGGTGCCCGCGGTGCGGGAAGCAGCGAGGCTGCGCTGGCGCTGCGGCGCCGCGCAGGCGGCTCGCAGCGCGGCCAGGCCAACGCGGCGCAGCCTGCAACCCTCCGCGACACGGAACGCAAGCTTTCCGCACGGCGTGGCGGCGCCCCCGGACCCCCACTCGCAATGCCCACTCCGACACCGCGGGCCGCGCGTGTACATCGCTGAATCTTGAAATTCGGGGGCGAGGGGGAGTGGAACAGCAGCTCGCGTTTGCTCTCGCGGAGGGCTCTTCTCCATCCCTCCACCTCTCCTCCGTGCGTTGCACCACGGGGCCTGCTTGCGCTTGTACACGATGCGCTTCCATGCCCTCGCGGTCCCCAGACACCTCCCCCTCATCCTCTTCCTCCCACTCCTCCTCCTCCTCCTCCTCCTCCTCTCCCTCCTCCTCCTCCTCCCCCTCCCTCCTCCTCCTCCTCCTCCTCCTCCTCCTCCTCCTCCTCATCCTCTTCCTCCCCCTCCTCCTCCCCCTCCTCCTCCTCCACCTCCTCCCCCTCCTCCTCCTCCTCCACCTCCTCCTCCTCCTCCTTCTCCCCCTTGCTGGAATCAAGGCGGGGGCCCTTCGTCGTGCTCGGCCTCCGGGGGCCCAAGCGCTAAGCCCCGGCAGGCCGTCCGAGAAGTGGCCCGGGATGACGAGCCCAGGCCCGGGGGCAGGGGGGCGGAAACTCGGGGGAGGCCGTCCTGGGAACACATGCGCTCGACCAGGATACAGGGCAGTTTTTAATACATGGGATGTTGAAAAATATGGTATTTGTTTAATATATGGTTAATGTATGAATACATGTATGCATGAACTCGTCGTTGCTTTTAGTACTTAGCCCCTGCATTTTTAATACATGATCCGCACGCGGAGCATGTATTAAAAACGGCCCTGTAGTACGGATGCGCGGAAAGGGCGCAGGGGCCCTGGAGCGCCATGTTGACGTTTTCCGTGCGGAGGGCCGCAGAATGCCGAGGGATGCCGAATACCGAAGGGGCAAGGGTGCAAGGGTAGCCTTGGAAAGTTGCCCCATCCTTACTATCATGGTTGACTGTAAACCTTGAACATGTGGGTCTGGATGGTGAGGCGCCAGCCTGGCCCATTTCCCCTCGCGTGCACGGCGAATCAAGAGAAGGTCAGCCCGAGAGGCCCCGAAAAGGGTTCCGAGAGTCCCCCCGTGAAGCCCCAAGAGAGCTCCAAGAAGCTCCCAAGAGGCGCACAGGAGGCCCTCAGGAGCAACACGCAACAACCACCAGTTCCCCAAGGGGTCGGCGGTGTGGCATAAGCTAATGAATCTATGGGTCTGGATGGCGAGGCGCCCCAAGAGCGCCCACAACTGCGCCTCCAGAGGCCAAAATCATTGATTTTCCTGTGGTATGGGCACTATTTTAACGTTCTCGCCTTTGCGGCCCAAGCAACTTCGCAAATAGCTCCAGCACAACCCCAGAAGCCCCCAAGAGGGCCCCGAGACGGCCCAACAGAACCCCAAGACGGCCCAAAGAGGCCCCCAAGACGGTCCAAGAGGCCCCTATGACGGCCCAAGAGGACCCCAAAACGGCCCCAAGGCGGCCGCGAGAGGCCCCCAAAACGGTTTCCGAAGGAGCGAAACGGCGCAAAAGCGCCCCCAAACCGCCAAAGACGCCCCCAAGAGGCCCCAAGAGGCCCCCAAGAGGCCCCCAAGGGTCCCCAAAAAACCCCCAAGAGGCCTCCAAAATGTCTTCAAGAAGCCTCCCAAAGGCTCCAAAAAAGCCCCCCAAAGGCCGCACAGCGACTGCCCCGAGACGGCCCGAGATGGCCCCAAGAAGGCCCCAAAAGCCCCCAAGACGGCCCAAGGGGGCCCCAAGAGCGCCCAGAAGAGCGCCTCCAGAGGCCCAAATCATTGATTTTCCTATTGTTTTACACAGCTTGTAGCGTTCTCGCCTTCTCCGCCTCTCAGAAGCCCATGACGGCCCAAGCAGCCTCCAAGATGGCACCAAAAAGGCCCAAGAAACACCCAAGGGGGCCCCGACAATGCAACGTATCCAACGGATCCAATGGACCGAATGATCCAAAAGTGCTACATGTTGTATTGGTTTACATTATGACGTCTCCCAATCGAACCCCCTTTGGAGCCGCGCCACTACGCCGTACCAAAGTAGCGGCCCCAATTCTGGTGCTCTCTCTCTCTCTCTCTATATATATACACATACACACATACATACATACATACATACATATATATATATATATATATATATATATATATATATATAACAATTTCGGTTGTTAGGGTCTCTTTGGGACTCCAAGAAGGTCTCCATATGGCCACGGGTGGCCCCAAAACGGTCAACAACGCACTCAAGACGGCCCAAGATGGCCCAAGAAAGCCCAGAAAGCTCCCCAAGACGGCCCAGGAGGGCACCGAGAGCATCCCCAAGAACGCACCCAGAGGCCAAAATCAATGATTTTCCAAAAGTGTTTGAAGGATTTGGGCGTTCTCGCCTTTTTCGATTGTCAGAGGCCCAAGACGGCCCAAACAGCTTCCAACATTTCCCTCAGACCGCCCCAGAAGCGCCCACGGGAGCCCAAAGACCGCTCCAGAGGGCCCCAAGACGGCCCAATGAACCCCCCAAAGCAACCCAAGAAGCCCCAAGACGGCCAAAGAGAACCCCAAGAGAGCCCCAAGGCGGCCGTGAGAGCCACCCAAGGCGGCCTCCTATGGGGCGAAACGGGGAAAAAGCGCACCATCACGGCACAAGACACCCCCAAGAGGCTCCAGGAGGCACCCAAGAAGCCCCCAAGAAGCCCCCAAGAAGCCCCCAAGAGGCCTCCAAGAGTCTCCCAAGAGGCTCCCAAAAGGCCCCACAACGACTGCACTGAGCGGCCAGCTGACGGTCTGGACCAGGTGCAGCACGTGGCTCATCGCACGAACTCCACTGGGCGCAGCGCGCCTCCAAGTGCAGGTCACGACTTGACTGTACGTACTCCGGACGTGCACCCCGCGAAGCGAGAGGAATCTATGGGTCTGGATGGCGAGGCGCCAACCTATAGATGCGCTCGGCACAGGGCATCCGCGCAAAGCCGCCCCGCGTCCATGGGTGCGCGGCCGAAGAGTCCGTACCGCAAGGCCTTGGATGTGGGTACGTTTCCCGCCCGCGACCTTGTCCCCCGACCCCGAGCGTGTCGAACAGGTCAAGACACCAAATTATACAATTGGGCTTGCCCAAAGAGTTCGAAACAACTATCTAGAATTGGAACGAACCCCCCCCTCACATACATTGTCCTTCAACGATCAAGTGTTCCTTGTTCCACGGCTGTCCCAGTGCTTTGCCCTTTCACGATCCTGGGTATGGCAGCGCGTTCCTGAGGTGGTCCACCCATAGAGTCCAAAGGGTCCAAAGGAGTCCAGCGAACCAACATAATCCAATCGAGTCGTTCATGCAATGCGCTGGGGTCCTGTGAAATCCAATGTTGTCCAATGGGCTACATCGGGTGCTACGAAGCTTCATGGAGTTCGTCGCGTGGGTATTACAATGGAGTCCTATGGGAGTTCCTTTTAGTTTCGATGGCGTCGTATTCTATGGAGCTATATGGATGGCAATGGTGACCAATGGAGCCCAAATGGAGACCAATGAAGCTCAAGAGAGTCCGATGGAGCATATTTGACCGATGGAGCCAAATCGAGTCGCATGGAGTCCAACGGAGTCTGACGCTGTCCAGTGTGGTTCGCTGTGTCCCACAGAATCCAATGGAGTTGTATGGACTTTCCACTAGAGCCCAATGGAGTCCTATGGACTCCAATGTGATCACTTGGGTACTCGAACGGCGTCCAATGGGAGACCATGGAGTCCTATGAAGTCCAACGGGGAAGTGGAGCCCAGAGGGACCCGATGAAGTTCTATGGAGCAGTATGGAGATTCCCATAGAACCCGATGGAGTCGTATGGGCGTTCCAATTGATTCCAACTGGGTCCCATGGAGTCCACTGGAGTCCAAAGGAGTCCAATGGAGTCCGATGGAGTCCAATGAAACCCAATGGAGCCCAATGAGATCCAATGTAGTGCAATCGACCACCGGAGCCCGCTGGAGACGAATGGAATCCGGTGGAGCCCAAAGTAAAGCATTGAAGTTAAATAGGGCCGTGTGAAGTCCATCCACTCAGCTGGACATTTTGCACTCGGATGCAACACATGTAGGGGGGCCGTGCGGGGTGTGGTGTGGATCCGTGCGCGAGCTCGCGGAGGAGGCTGTGGGGGAGGAAAGCAGAGGCACGGGGAGGAGGAGGAGGAGGAGGAGGAGGAGGAGGAGGAGGAGGAGGAGGCGGAGGCGGGCGGAGGAGGAGGA